ATGGAAAGATTACACAGCAGTCATTTTCTTAGTACAAAGTAAAGCTACAACTGAGCTTGCATTGAAGATCTTTAACAAAGATGCAAAGCAGCTGGCCAGAAATGTTTTTTTCTTTCCATCTTCTCTTGCACCTCTCAGTACCTTGAGAATCCTCGAGGCTGGGCATGATGACTCATGCCTGTAATCTCAGCACTTCTGGAGGCCAAGGCCGGAGGATCACTTGAGCTCAAGAGTTTGAGACCAGCCTAGGCAACATAGTGAGACTCCCATCTCTACAAAAATTTTAAAAATTAGCCAGGCATGGTGGCATGCACCTGTGGTCTCAGCTACTCAGGGAGGCTAAAGCAGGAGGATTGCTTGATCCTGGAAAGTCAAGGCTGCAGAGTCATGATCGCACCACTGTTCTCTAGCCTGGCAACCTGGGCAACAAGAAGAGAGACCCTATCTTAAAAAAAAAAAAAAAATCCTTGAGAATTGGTTATGAGCCAACAAAATGGGAGCATATGGTATAGTCTCAACACTCTGACCCTACTCCGTCTCATAGGCAGTCAGAAAATGAGATCTTGAAGTCTCTTAAGAGCAGCTGATGAAAAAGAAATGGGAATGTAGATGTTCCATCAGCAGCCCTCCAGACCCAGAGTTTACTCCTCGGTATTGTCTTTAGGTGGAGAATAAGGACTTGCTTTGCCATTCTGGAGTGCAAATATCTAGCTATTTGCAGCTTCACAGTAAGACTTCTTGAAATGTACTTAGTAATACCTGTGTGTTACTTTGCCAAATGATGGCTGGAGAGGATTTTAGCAGGTTTTAGTCTTATTTAAGTTAATCTAACACTGCTGAGAAAGGAAGAGAGGTCTTTGGTTTTACTTTCAAATATATACCTCTTAGTTGGGTGCAGTGGCTCATGCCTGTAATCCCAGCAATTTGGGAGGCAAAGGCAGGCGGATCACTTGAGGCCAGCAGTTTGAGACCAGCCTGGCCAACATGGCAAACCCCATCTCTACTAAAAATACAAAAATTAGCCAGTGTGGTGGAGCACACCTGTAATCCCAGGTACTTAGGAGACAGAGCCGGAATAACTTGAACTGAGGAGGTGGAGGTTGCAGTGAGCCAAGATCATCCCACTGCACTGTGCACTATAGCCTGGGTGCAGAGCCAGACCCTGTCTCAAAAAAGAGAGATATATAGATCGATCTCTCTCTTTCTTTGTCTCTCTCTCTCTCTCTCTCTCTCCACACACACACACACCTCTTTTTTTTCTCTTTTAAATTTAAGCGACAGAGTCTCATTCTGTTGCCCATGCTGAAGTGCAGTGGCACAATCTTGGTCCACTGCAATCTCCGCCTCCTGGGTTCTAGCAGTTCTCCTGCCTCAGCCTCCCGAGTAGCTGGGACTACAGGTGCATGCTGCTATGCCCAACTGATTTTTTGTATTTTAGATGAGACGGGTTTTACTGTGTTGCCCAAGCTGGTATCGAACTCCTGAGCTCAGGCAGTCCACCCACCTCAGCCTCCCAAAGTGCTAGGATTATAGGGATGAGCCACTGCCTGGCCTATGTGGTACCTCTTCAGCAGCCAGACCTAGTTCATCAGACACAAAGCCTTCATGATACCTTTGCTTGAGAAGCTTAACAACTCAATAAATCAAATGATGAATAAAAATTCTAATGTATGAAAATACTCTAATAGATAATAGATTAAGAATGGACATCCACTCAAGGTGATTGCATCATCCTACCCATTCATTAATCTGACTCCCTGCAAGTTACTTCCCTAGGAGATACTGACAAGTCTCTGTTTTGTGAAATACAGAGAAAGGCAGCAGTGGGGAGGGGTACAGTGTATGTATGTATGTCATACCTATGCTTGGTATATATGGGTTGCCTGTATATGATAGCAGCTGGGGAATCAAATCATAAATTATTCTCAGACAGGTTTGTCCTATGACTACCTATTCTTATTAAATAATTAGCTATATTGACCATTTTTGGTTTTGAAAAAATAATAATTTTTTTAAGAGAGAAAAACAATTGGCTACCCTTCAACAGTGATGTTAGAACCATTTCACATTCTTTAGCTTATATCTAACCATGTGCAGGTTGAGAAAAGGGTTTGCCTGAGTCATAGATGATTCTGTGAGAATAAGAAGTCATTGCCTTTGTAACACATGATGTAAAAGTAATCTCCAAGTTGACACGCTGATGGGAACTCCTGGCAAGGGGAGTTCTCTACCCTCAACAAAAGGTCATTCGCAGCCACTGGAACATTTTTGTTATCTATGGAGTATAAGGTGCTTAGAAATACCTGAATCCATTAATGCCTCCAAGTGATTAAATCAGACTTTGCAGGTGACTGAGATTGACAGTAGTGCCTTGTTCTGGTGGCTGCTGTTCACTGTTCAAATGACAACCCACATGTTTTATGGATTGGGTATACAAATGTATGCTCTAACAGCAGTATCTCCCTCCAGAGCCCCTGTGTACCAAGCACCAGGTCCCCCAGGGATAGTTGGCTCTATTCAGTATTTCATTCATTCAACAAGAGCTTACTAAGCTCCTTTTTGGTACCAGATACTCTTTGGTGCTGATAGTAAATAAAAGGCCAGCAAGATTAAGCAAACTCTAAGATCTGGACCAGGAATTTGACAACAGAAAGTACTGTCATAGATAGTTTCTGGTGTGTAGTGACGGTTCTCTATGAAAGCTTAGTCTTTCAGGAGATTAAAATGGGTGGTGAAATACTTCTACCTAGCAAGCAAACAGGGTGAAATGAGTGGCTATTTGACTGCCACTTGTTGATGCTGGTCTTTTTTGGTGCCTAGGGCTTATAATGATCAACATTTCTTGAGTCCTCACTATTTTCTCTGCTAAGCTCTTTACATGTATGAATTTACTTAATCTTCACAAGCACCCCAAGAAGTGGATACTGTTGTCCCTACTTTACAGATGAGGAAATGGAAGCACAAAGTTAAAGACCTTGCTAAAGATCGTGGAGTAGAGGCAGGATTCAAATTTAGGGAACTCAGGCCAGAATCCATGCTCTTAAAGATGTTATATACTGCCTCTGGGCTTAGAAGGGGTTCCTCTTAGGCTGGGCGTGGTGGCTCACATCTGTAATCCCAGCACTTTGGGAGGCTGAAGCAGGTGGATCACAGGGTCAGGAGTTCGAGACCAGCCTGGCCAACATAGTGAAACCCCATCTTTACGAAAAATACAAAAATTAACTAGGCATGGTGGCACATGCTTGTAGTCCCAGCTCGGAAGGCTGAGGCAGGAAAATCACTTGAACCTGGGAGACGGAGGTAGTGGTGAGCTGAATCGCACTACTGCACTCCAACCTGGGCAACAGAGCAAGACTCTGAAGAAAAAAAGGGGGGATTCATTTTGACTGACTTCCTTAATTGGTAGAGCTTGATAGAGTGGTTCTTCCCGGATCCTTCCCTGCCTACACAGCCTGTCTTTTTTCTGATTGGTCCCTAAGGCTAGATTGCCTGTCCCTCGTGAGCAGAAGCTGTTGAATGAAACAGGAGATCCCTCAGACCAAAAAAAAAAAAAAAAAAAAAAAGAGAAATGAAACGAGATCCCTTCTCTACAGCCCAGCTGTGCCCTTCACCACCTGGGTGACACCACCTCTCGGAGCATATGTCCTCATCTGTAAAGTGGAGATAAGGTTACTTCATCGGATCATTTAGAGGATTAAATAAGATAATGTACTTAGTAGTTTCTGACTCTGAGTAAGTGCTTAATAAATACTAGCAATTTTTATTACCATTGTCCTTAGCCTTGAAAACAAGCCAGGAAATAGTTTCTCAGAGACTAGATGCTAAGTAAGACCTAGGTAGACAGGCAGTTTTCCCTTGGTTTTGACAAGACAATAATTTTATCCTGTGTATTTCTCTTGACTTTTTTGATGTGAAAAGCAGAGAGGTAAAGCATTATTTGACAGATGTATGGATTCAAGCAAGAAACTGAGGTCCAATTGCAAAGAAATGGCTTGTATAACTCAGAGCCCTGTCTGAGGAGACACAGAGGACCCTAGAGGGCGGAGAATGAACACAGCGCAGGGGCTAGTTCCAGAGTCGCATTCTCGGTTAGTTCACTTTCAAGTGTGGGTGAGGGTCCCTTGTCAGTAGGCAGATTTTTTTCCCCCTGCATCAACACGTTATTTGCTGGCTAGTGTTTATTAAACAAAACTTTAATATGAAATAGAATTTATGATTTGTCCAAAATGGAGAAGGAAGGGAGCTCTTTAATAGGCTTGTTGAGCCCCTTTTCCCACCTGTTCCTGTGCCAGACTTTCCCAAAGGCTTACTTGCCAATGGTTGCTTCTCAGATTGCAGGGCTAGCACACTCTGTATGCTCCAAGCCGGAGTGATACTGCCACCACCGCTGTTGCTCCCACCAGCCATTCAGTTTCCTGCTCTAAGGATGTAACTTTGCTGTAAAGCTTTCACCTTCCTCCTTTCTTCCTGTCTTCTGTGTTGTATATCTTTGTTCTGGTGCTTTTGCCGTACAGCCAGTGTTTCAAAGGAAATTTTCGGCACCAAAGTTATAGCCCTTATTACCTTTCCAAGGAGATGTGAGTTAGCCATGGAAAAGAAGAGGGCTCCTCTGCCTCTGTGCAGAGGGAAGAGTTTGTTTCTTGATAGTGTGCTAGCTCCTGAGCTAAGTGGGGGACTTGCCAGGACTCAAGAGAGTGCACCTGACCTCTGGACAAGTAGACTGGGCATAACCTGCCCAAGAACAGCACCCTAAACTACAAGAACCAAGGCTGAAGACCGATTCCACCTTCTCGCACTCCCCTTCCCTTGCACTCCCTTAAGCTTGCTCTGCAACACTGCCCCAGGCCTGTGGCTTAAAACAGCCATTTTCTTTCACCAGTGAATAAACTCACTCTTTATAAAAATGTTTCAGCTTGGGGATTGGAAAGGCTCTCTGTGCCTTTCCATCTCTTATCTGTTTCTACAAGGGTTGATGATGGTTTCTGTCTTTGTCTTTACAGGGAACTCTAATGATCCAAGACAAAGAAGTTACCCTGGAGTATGTACCAAGCCTGGATTTTTGGTACTGCAAACGAGTAAGTACAAAGAATTCCTTTCTTTAGAAGTAAGCATCCAGAATAACAGCTCCTCCATATCTCTAGGAAGGCTGCCTGCTAACATGCATTCCCAAGGACAAAGCTCTTCTTCCTCAGCTCACTTCAGTTAAACAGGAAGAGGTCAAGGCAAGGTCATTCATAATTTCTCCTTCCCAGCTGCTACATCTGACCATAAAGGGTTCTGGACCTGCATGGAAACACTTTCTCAAGGACATGTGCCATGATTTCTGTCAGTTATAAAAATAACATTTCCTTGACATATACTGTTTTCTCATCTCTCCTGAGGATGGTCATAAAGGAATTCTTGTTTGGAAAAGTAGGTTTGGAGAGACTAGTTCTGTGGGAGTTCTACATTTTTTGGATATTTTTTCTATCTCCATGGATTTGCCTGTTCTGGATATTTCATATAAATGAAATCAAAATTTTGTAACCTTTTGTGTTGGCCTTTCACCTAGGATGTTTTCAGGGTCCACATATGTTGTAGTATTTATCAGTACCTCGTTTCTTTTTATAGCTAAATAATATAGATATTATTACATTTTGTTCATTCATTACTTGATGGAGATTTGGGTTGTATCTGCCTCTTGACTTTGGTGAATAATAGAACCTTTGTTTGCTAGTTTTTGTTTGAACAGCTGTTTTCAATTATTTGGGGGTATGTATCCAGGAGTGGAATTGCTGGGTTATATGGTACTTTTATATTTAACTCTTTGAGGAACCACCAAACTGTTTTCCTTTTATTATTATTATTATTAGCAAACTTTTTCATAGACAAGAGTTGTACTATTTTATATTCCTATCACCAATATGTAAGGGCTTCTTTCTCCACCTCCTTGCCAACATTTATTATTTTCCCTTTTTTTAATAATAGCCATCTTAGTGGGTATGAAAAATATCTCATTGTGGTTTTGATTTGCATTTCCCTAATGACTTTGAGGATCTTTTCATGTGTTTATTGGCCATTTGTATATCTCCTTTGGAGAAATGTTCAACCAAGTTCTTTGCCCTTTGGGAGTGGTTGTGGTTTCTGTGTCTTTTTGTTGAGTTGTAAGCGTACTTTATATTTTCTGGATATTAATCCCAGAATGATTTGTAAATATTTTCTATGTGTTATCTTTCACTTTCTTGAGAGTATCCTTTTTTAAAAAAAAAAAGAGAGAGAAAGAGAGTGAGTGTGTGTGTTAAGGTCAGCCAGGTGTGGCTCGTGACTATAATCCCAACACTTTGGGAAGCAGAGGTGGGCAGATCACTTGAGCCCAGGAATTTGATACCAACATGGCAAAACTCATCTCTGTGTTGGTGCATGCCTATAGTCCCTGCTACTCAGGAGGCTGAGGTGGGAGGATTACCTGAGTCTAGGAAGTCAAGGCAGCAGTGACCCATGTTAGTGCCCCTGTACTTCAGTACTCCAGCCTGGGTGACAGAGCAAGACCTTGTCTCAAAAAAAAAAAAAGAATTTTTTTTTTAAATTTATTATGTACCTATTAAGTAATTAAAACAAATGTTAATGTGATATGATTTATAATAGCCAAAAAATGGAAATAACCAAAATGTCCATTAGCTGATGAATGAATGAACAAAATTGGCATATCCATACAATGAAATACTTTTTGACAGTGAAAAGGAATGCAGTACTGAATCATGTTACAACCCAGATGAACCTTGAAACTACTCTGCCAGACACAAAAGCGCATACATTGCACAGTTCCGTGTCCCTAGGAGTAAGAATGGGAGGTGACTTCACTAGATTTCCTTTGGGGTGATGAAAATGTTTCAAAATTAGAGTGTGGTGATGGTTGCACTATACATTTACTAAAAATCACTGACATACATGTAAAATAGGTAAGTTTTATGGGTTTTGTTTTTGTTTTTAAGACAGAGTCTTGCTTTGTCACCCAGGCTGGAGTGCAGTGACACAATCTTGGCTCACTGCAACCTCCACCTCCACCTCCCGGGTTCAAGCAATTCTCATGTCTCAGCCTCCTAAGTAGCTGGGACTACAGGCACATGCCACCACACCTGTCTAATTTTTGTATTTTTAATAGAGATGGGGTTTCTCCATGTCGTCCAGGCTGGTGTTGAACTCCCGGCTTCAAATGATCCAACCGCCTTGGCCTCCCAAAGTGCTAGGATTACAGGTATGCGCCATCATGCCAGGCCTGTTTTGTGGTATTTAAATTATACCTACTAAGGTTAGGATCCTAATTGTGCTACTCACTAGCTGAAGTGTCACACACTTCATTTGTTCACATGTAGATACTCAGTTGTCCCAACACCATTTGTTGAAGAGACTATTCTTTCCTCATAGGCACTTTCCCCATTATCAAAAATCATTTGACCATAATCTATAGGTTTATTTCTAGATTCTCAGTTTTATTCTGTTGATCTGTATGTTTACACACAGCAGTAGTTACTACAGCAGCTCTCCTGTAGTAACAATCCTCAAATCCCAATAAACATATTCTTCATTCACATTACATGTCAGGGACTATGGGTTGTTTGCTACAGTTCTGTTCCACATCGCTCCTCATCCCAGCGCCCTGGCAGAAGAAACAGTCTCAATATGGGACAGTGTTCTTCTGGCTAAGGGAGAAGTTCATTCACACAAGCATTGGCTTCTAAAGCTTCTCTTAGACCCGGTGTAGGTCATGTTGACTCATGTTCTATTGGCGAAAGCAAAGAAGACACATGGCCAAGGATGACAATGGAGAAAGGAGAAAGGAAGTGTACTCACCCTATGGGGAGGCATGAAAGCCTTTGGTACTGGGAAGGGGGTGTGTGTGTGTGTGTGTGTGTGTGTGTGTGTAATCGGTTTATAGTGAAGGGAACAATGAAATAAGTGATTATAGTGATCTTATTCAAGTGATTTAACCTCTCAAGGCCTCAGTTTCCTCATCTACAAAATGAGGAGATAGTAGTACCCATTTCATGGAGTTAATTGGGGTTGTCAGTCTCAGGATCAATAAGTGATGACATACATAGTAGGCCAGATACATGGTATGTGCTATTTAAGAATTAGCCACTACTGGCCGTGTGCAGTGGCTCACTCCTGTAATCCCAGCACTTTGGGAGGGTGAGAGGCGGCCGGATCACCTGAGGTCAGGAGTTTGAGACCAGCCTGACCAACATGGAGAAACCCCACCTCTAAAAAATACAAAATTGACCAGGCATGGTGGTACATGCCTGTAATCCTGGCTACTCGGGAGGCTGAGACAGGAGAATCACTCGAACCTGGGAAGTGGAGGTTGTGGTGAGCCAAGTTCGTACCATTGCACTCCAGCCTGGGAAACAAGAGCAAAACTCCGTCTCAAAAAAAAAAAAATTAGCCACTGCTACTGTTGTTATTGTTTTCTCCTCGACTCCATGGTTCTTACTCTGGTTTCCTGCCAGCCAAGTTTCTGTCCCTCGTGGCATTTGGAAGGTCAGTGGCAAAAGTTCAGGGGTTTCAGGGTTGGGTGGTGTGCTTGACTTTTTATTCACAAGCGCAGGCAAGAATAATTATATTCACATTAAAAATCTCTTCCCAGCTGGGCAGGGTGGCTCACACCTCTAATCCCAGCATTTTGGGAGGCTGAAGCGGGTGGATTGCCTGAGCTCGGGAGTTCGAGACCAGCCTGGGCAACATGGTGAAACCCTGTCTCTACTAAAATACAAAAAATTATCCAGGCGTGGCAGCGTGTGTCTGTAGTCCCAGCTACTCGGGATGCTGAGGCAGGAGAATTACTTGAACCTGGGAGGCGCAGATTGTACTGAGCCGTGATCACGCGCCACACTGCACTCCAGCCTTGCCAACAGCGAGACTCTCCAAAATCTAAAAAAATTTTTAAAGATTGTCTCTTCCCTTATTCTGGGCTAGTGAATGTTCCCTTTTAGTATCTTTTAGATAGCTGCCAAAGACATAACCTGCATCTCTTCTTCCTCCTACCTCATGCCTCTTTATTAGTGTTTAAGAAAGGAGTTGATGGCCGGGTACAGTGGTTCACACCTGTAATCCCAGCACTTTGGGAGGCTGAGGCAGGTGGATCACAAAGTCAGGAGTTCCAGACCTGCCTGGCCAACAAGTAAAACCCTGTCTCTATAAAAAAAAATAATAATAAAATTTTAAAAAGGAGTTGAGTTGATAATTGAATTCTCGTCAGTTCTAGCCAACTGTGAATGAGGATCTCACAAACAATCCAGGCCCAGGTTGTGGATGCAGACTGTAAATGTCCTTGGGATAATAATATTCTATAAACCACTTAACAGTAGTTTTCTAGGCATATTTCCTATAGTAATCTTTATCTGGGGCAGAAGCATTTGGGCTGCACCAAAGTCCAGGTGTCTGTTGAATGTTGCTCTCAAACAATAGCTCATCAGATCCTGTCTGCCAGTTCTTTTTTGAATATCGGTTTCTTTTTTTTTTGAGGCGGAGTCTTACTCTGTCACCAGGCTGGAGTGCAGTGGAGCAATTTCGGCTCACTGCAACCTCCGCCTGGGTTCAAGCGATTCTTCCGCCTCGGCCTCCCAAAGTGCTGGGATTACAGGCGTGAGCCACCACACCCGACCTATCAGTTTCCTTTTTTAAGCTTTGAGGCAATCTGGGATATGGCTTCTTTCATTTTTAGGAGGTTTTACTTTGTTAGATATACATAGGCTTTTTAAAATGTTTTCTGTCAAATTGAATTCTTTCCTTCTTCCTTGCAGTGTAAGGCAAGCATTGGTGGGCACCGATCTTCCTGTTCATTCTGCAAGAACCCAAGGGAAGGTGAGTGGCAGAAGTGGTAGCAGTTTTTATCTTGTGCATTGAGCAAAACAAATTTTTTTTTTTTAGACGGAGTCTCGCTCTGTTGCCAGGCTATCCTGGGTTCCAGTGATTCTCCTACCTCAGCTTCCTGAGTAGCTGGGACTACAGGTGCACACCACCACACCCAGCTGATTTTTGTATTTCTAGTAGAAACAGGGTTTCACCATGTTGGCCTAAATGGTCTCAATCTCTTGACCCCGTGATCTACCCACCTCCACCTCCCAAAGTCCTGGGATTACAGGCGTGAGCCACTGTGCCTGGTGAGCAAAACAAATTTCATGCTTTCCTTGGCTTTAAAAAATTATCATCCCTAAATCCAAGTTGATCTACAAATCTTTTTTTTTTTTTTTTGAGACAGAGTCTTACTCTGTCACCCAGGCTGGATTGCAGTGGCGCAGTCTCGGCTCGTTGTAACCTCTGCCTCCCAGGTTCACGCAATTCCCCTGCCTCAGCCTCGTGAGTAGCTGGGATTACAGGCATGTGCCACCATGCCCAGCTAATATTTTTGTACTTTTGGTAGAGATGGGGTTTCACCATGTTGGTCAGGGTGATCTTGACCTGCTGACTCATGATCCGACCACCTCACCCTCCCAAAGTACTAGGATTACAGGCATGAGCCACTGCACGTGGCCTACAAACCTTTTAAAAGTGCAGTTTGGGCTGGGCACGGTGGCTAATTCTGTAATCCCAACACTTTGGGAGGCCGAGGCAGGTGGATCACCTGAAGTCAGGAGTTCGAGACCACCTGTCCAACATGCCAAAGCCCTGTCTCTACCAAAATTACAAAAATTAGCCAGGTGTGGTGGCACATGCTTGTAATCCCAGCTACTTGGGAGGCTGAGGCACGAGAATCACTTGAACCCAGGAGTCAGAGGTTGTAGTGAGCCAAAATCATGCCACTGCACTCCGGTCTAGGCAACAGAATGAGAAAAAAAATATATATGTATATATATGTATTGCCATTAGATTCCCAACTTAACCTGATCTGTTAGTAAATGATTTCAGATCTCAGTTTCACCAGAGGAAAGATAGGATTGTGGGCTCCTAGGCTAAAGTGGCTAAGTAGGCAGCTGACCAGAGGTCAGTATATTTTTATTTGGAATACATTTAAGGATTAAGGATGTTAGGTTGGAAAAGAGTTATGGCATCAGTCTATGTGGCAAATCTTTCTCCCACCTCCACTTATTTGAAGTTGTTAGGAATAATTTGCTCTATTGTTTTCTCTTTTACACCGTGTAAGCATTTCAGGATTTTCAAGAGAAAAACATCTGTTAAAATAACAGTAAAATTATAAATTAGAGGCCAGGCGTGGTGGCTCATGCCTGTAATCCCAGCACTTTCGGAGGCTTAGATGGGTGGATCATCTGAGGTCGGGAGTTCAAGACCAGCCTGGCAAACATGGTGAAACCCCATCTCTACTACAAATAAAAATTAACCAGGTGTGGTCGCATGTGCCTGTAGTTCCAGCTACTTGGGAGGCTGAGGCAGGAGAATCGCTTGAACCCAGGAGGCAGAGATTGCAGTGAGCCAAGATAATGCCATTGCTCTCCAGCCTGGGCAATAAGAGCAAAACTCCATCTCCAAAAAAAATTCTAGTATGAGTATTTGCTGGCAGGTAAGAAGAAATTACAGTAGTACTGGTTTGTTGTTGTTGTTGTTGTTTATAAAGCCTTCTAGGGATTCTCTTTGTTTCTGTTCCACTAGTGACAGAAGCCAAGCAAGAATTAATAACCTACCCTCAGCCCCAGAAAACATCTATACCAGCACCATTGGAAAAACAACCCAACCAGCCCCTAAAACCAGCTGATAAGGACCCTGAACCCAGGAAGAGGGAAGAAGGACAAGAGTCCCGCTTAGGACATCAAAAGAGAGAAGCAGAAAGGTATCTGCCTCCTCGAAGGGAAGGGCCAACTTTCCGAAGAGACCGAGAGAAAGAGTCATGGTCTGGAGAGACACGCCAGGATGGAGAGAGCAAAAGTAAGTGGTTTGTCAGGGCACATACCAGACTGTGACCATCACAGATGGAGCATAGATGACCAATGTTGTGTCTGGGAGCTATCTGCTTTCCAGTACCCTAAGAGATTTGTGCATGGCCTGATGACAGAGGCCATTGCTTTCTGTGGACCTTACTATATTCCTTAAAGATATGCCCTTCAAATAGTAAATTGCTATATGAATCCAGTAAGGCATGATTTTAGATTTTTTTTTTTTTTTTTTTTTTGAGATGGAGTCTCGCCCTGTTGCTCAGGTTAGAGTGCAGTGGCACAATTTTTGGCTCGCTGCAACCTCTGCCTCTGGGGTTCAAGTGACTCTCCTGCCTCAGCCTCGCAAGTAGCTGGGATTACAGGTGTCTGCTACCGTACCTGGCTAAATTTTGTGTTTTTAGTAGAGATGGGGTTTCACTGTGTTGGCCAGGCTGGTCTTGAACTCCTGACCTCGTGAACCACTGTGCCTGGCCGATTTCTAGATTTCTAAGTATTGGTGAATAAAAGTATGCAGTATTTATTTGTTGAGCATTTCTTTACAGAACCAGCCTTACTAGTAGTATCTGTAGTGAAAAATGACAGACTCAAAACTTCAAAAATTTCTCTTTCTCTCCCTTTTGTTGCTCTTTTTCTATCTATGGTTGGTTCAGCCATCATGCTAAAGCGTATCTATCGTTCCACACCACCTGAGGTGATAGTGGAAGTGCTGGAGCCCTATGTCCGCCTTACTACTGCCAACGTTCGTATCATCAAGAACAGAACTGGCCCTATGGGCCATACCTATGGCTTTATTGACCTTGACTCCCATGCGGTGAGTTTCTTCCACCTTGGATTGGTCTAGGTTCAGATGGCTAAAGAACCTTCAAGAAAGTTTGAGGGATTTCTTGATCATTTGAATTCTTGTGTGCTACCTTGTACCATAATCCGTCTTGCTCTCTCCTTTGGATTTACCATTGATTCAGGTGAGGTGACTGCCCTCAAAAATTAGAATCCTGTGTGGTTTTCCAGGTTCATTTTTGTCTTGTGTCATTTACTGTTTCCAACTTACTTGCTTGTGAAGAATCTGAGTACTGAATCCTTCAAGATTTTGGTGAACTTTCTAATTTATTTTGTTCAGCCACTGATGGTTTTATATTTGATGATAAAACATTTCCTCTTTTTCCTCAAAGTATTTAATAGATCCCTGTGGCTTAAATTTTTAATTGTGGGACCTTTTTCTATGGAACTAAGGTGAAAATAATAATGAAAGTCATTGATATTTCTTAGGTTTCATGCTCAAAAGTCACAAGGAACTTAGTAAACTGGATCTAATTGATGATAGTTACTGCCTAAAAGAAGAGGATTTAGGGCTGGGCGTGGTGGCTCCCGCCTGTAATCCCAGCACTTTGGGAGGCTGAGGTGGGCGGATCACCTGAGGTTGAGTTCGAGACCAGCCTGACCAACATGGAGAAACCCCATTTCTACTAAAATTACAAAATTAGCTGGGCGTGGTGACGCATGCCTGTAATCCCAGCTACTTGGGAGTCTGAACCAGGAGAATCGCTTAAACCCGGGAGGCGGAGGTTGCGGTGAGCCAAGATCGCACCATTGCATTCCAGCCTGGGCAACAAGAGCAAAACCCCATCTCAAAAAAAAAAAAGAGGATTTGAATTTCTGAAGTTTAGGCTAGAATTGACATCTATTATCTATTCTGATTCCTATTCCAATCAGTCCTTCATTAAAAGTTGCCTGTTTTTGCCAGTATTCTCCTACTGTTAAGATTTTGACCAGAATATAATGTAGTAAATTTACCCTCTGAGAAAATTCATGTTCATTTCTCTTTCAAAGGAGAATTTTTCTGTCTTTGGATTCTGGCTTTTTCTGTCTCTGGGTTCAAGTGTGTCTTTGGTTCTATAGGAAGCTCTTCGTGTGGTGAAGATCTTGCAGAACCTTGATCCACCATTTAGTATTGATGGGAAGATGGTGGCTGTAAACCTGGCCACTGGAAAACGAAGGTAAGACAGAAGGGCGAGGATCTCTTATGCTGCCCCTACTTGTGTTTTTGGGAGGAAACTTCTTTTCCTGGATGGAAAGATAGTAAGGCATGATGCTTTCCTAACGTGGACTGCTTCAGTTATGTGTTTATTGTTTCTTTTTCTGAAGCCCAACTTGTTCTGACTCTCAAATTGTTTTCTTTCTTGAATAATACTAGGTACATTTGTCCTTTCCCTTTAGACTGTCTGGTATCTTTGGGTCCCAAGTGGCCTGGTGCAGTAGCACATACTTGTATTCCCAGCTACTAAGGAGGCTGAGGCAGGGGAGTTACATGAGCCCAGGAGTTCCAGGCCATAGTGTGCAATGATGATGTCTGTGTATAACCACTGTACTCTACCCTGGACAACACAGCAAGACCCCATCTCTTAATAAAAAAATGGTGGTCCAGTTTTGGATGTGCAGACAGATCTCAATACATTCTTGCCTCTTGCAATCCTAGGAAAATGCTGTCCTGACTTTTCCTTTCCCTGACCTTGTTCATATTGCCATAGCCCTGAGAAATCTAATTCCTCTTTACTCCTTCACTCATCTTGACCCAGGAGTGGTAACTTGGAAATGGTCATATCAGAGAAACAGGCTTACCAATATGGGCCATATCTTGCTCTAGCATACTCCACTTAACGGCTGTTTTGCTCCAGTACTTGGCTTTTTATGAGTCTTACTACTGCTCCTTCCTTCAGGAGCATCTGGACCCCACCCAACCTTCTTGTTGTCTAGGTTGGTTCCTTTCCTGCAAATGGGGAATAGAGAATTTCTCAGTAGGAACTGTGGGATTAAGTACTTGTCAAGTGCCTTTTGGTAGCAGACTTAAGAATTTTTGTGTTATCTGTTGCAGAAGTGATTCTGGGGACCATTCTGACCACATGCATTACTATCAGGTAGGCTGTAACAAGTGGGGAATCCTGTATTAAAATCCTCAGGTGACTGAAAGGGTGATCTTGAATTTTCTTCAGTGGGTGACTGTTAAGGTGAATGGCTCTTAGATAGTTCTGTAATTTTAACTTGCCTTTCTGTGATAGGGTAAAAAATATTTCCGAGATAGGAGGGGAGGTGGCAGAAATTCAGACTGGTCTTCAGATACAAATCGACAAGGACAACAGTGTAAGTAACCTTTGTTTTATTTCTGTTGCTCTCTTTTGCTTGACTTGCTACTCGTTACTTGACATCTGTGATCACAGTTGGCAAGATCTGCTGTTGACTGAGGGTGCTCATCCAGAGAGAGAGACATCTATAGATGCACCCATTTGTGTTGGCCACCCTAATTCTTGGGTTGTTCTTGATGAGTCTCCAGAAAGGGCTTCATCAGACAGAGACTAACATTGGCTCTGATCTTGTTACGTTTAGCATCATCTGACTGCTACATATATGATTCCGCTACTGGCTACTATTATGACCCCTTGGCAGGAACTTATTATGACCCCAATACCCAGGTGAGTTTGGGGCTTTTTTTAAAAACTCTGTCAATGATCCTTTTAAGAAAAGCTTCCATAATTTGCTACTTTGCGGATTTTATTTCCTGGATTATCTGGATGCTCATTGCTTGAAAAGTGGAAAGTTTATATGGAAACAAAACTTGATTACCTATATGGAAAATCAGTGCCTTGTGGCAATACAGGTAAGAACAGTGTTGCTCTTGAAAAAGTAGACAATGGGTGGTCTGAATGTTTCCTGGTCCCTCGAGTGGGTTTTTAGATTGATGTGGACTCATCTTAGGCTTGTAAGTAAAAGAGCTGTCCCTTCCCCTAGAAGGGAACTATGCTTCTTAGACCTGGAATTGCTGGGAAACCAAAACATTCTGTAGACTTGTTTGTTTCCAACTGTATCGCAGCAAGAAGTCTATGTGCCCCAGGATCCTGGATTACCTGAGGAAGAAGAGATCAAGGAAAAAAAACCCAGTCAAGGAAAGTCAAGTAGTAAGAAGGAAATGTCTAAAAGAGATGGCAAAGAGAAAAAAGACAGAGGAGTGACAAGGGTAAGAGGACTTGTTAATCTGTTGTCTTTTGCCACACAATTACAGATTAAAATGTAGGAGGTATAAACATAGGATATCTAGATTTGCAATATGCAGTTACTTTAAAAATACTCTGTCAGTGAGTATTTTTACCTGGTTTTGGCAGGTAAAAATTACCTGGTATAGTCAATTCACTCACTTCTTATAGCCCATAGCAACTCTCTCTGTTTTTTTTGTTTGTTTTTTGTTTGTTTGTTTGTTTGTTTGTTTTAACACTCTCTCTTTTACAAATGGGAAGAAACTATGGATGGTAGAACAAAGTGACCCAGCTCAAATCCTAACACCTCAGCTCCACACATTTTCACTTTTCTACATTCCCTATTTAGTGTTTGACTCTATACACATTTCACTAGTTGTAATTATAGCGGGGGTACTGTTTAATCACTTTTTTTTGAGACGGAGTTTCGCTCTTGTTACCCAGGCTGGAGTGCAATGGCATGATCCCGGCTCACCGCAACCTCCGCCTCCTGGGCTCAGCAATTCTCCCGCCTCAGTCTCCTGAGTAGCTGGGATTACATGCCCAGCTAATTTTTTGTATTTTTAGTAGAGACAGGGTTTCACCGATCTCTTGACCTCGTGATCCACCTGCCTCGACCTCCCAAAGTGCTGGGATTACAGGCGTGAGCCACTGCGCCCGGCCTCTTAATCACTTTTTATCATAAGTATTTTCTCCATGGTTCTATAATACTCTATTATTTTTAATGCCTGCGTGGTAAAAATTCACAGTATAACTATACCTTCATTGTCTTCATCTCTCCTGCATTATTTGTCTTCTCTTTCTAATCTTTTCTTTTTCTTTTCTTTTCGAGACAAGATCTTCCTCTGTCTCCCAGGTTAGAGTGCAGTGGCATGATCATAGCATACTATAACCTCAAACTCCTGTGCTTACGCAATCCCCCCACCTCAGCCTCCCAAGTAATGGGGACTACAGGCATGAGCCACCATGACCAGCTAATTTTTGCTTTTTTGTAGAGCAAAAATTTTGTAGAGTCAGGATCTCACTAGATTGACCTGGTCTCAAACTTCTGGACTTAAGTAATCCTCCTGCCTCATTCTCCCAAAGTGCTTCAGTTACAGGCATGACCCACTTTGCTCACCTCTTTCTAATCTTATACTGTCATAATATGTAGCATTTAGCATTTTATTTTCTTCTTTTAAATTGCTTCCTTATGGCACATTTTCAGAATCAGAGATAATAAACCTTTTTACATCTAATACAAAATCAAATTATTAGGCAGGGTTGATGTCTGTAATCTGAGCACTTTGGGAGGCCAAGACAGGCCAAAAATACAAAAAAAAAAAAGCTGGCTATGGTGGCACATGCCTGTAGTCCAGGCTACTCGGGAGACTGAGGCAAGTGGATTACTTGAGAGCCCAGGAGATTGCAGTGAGCTGTGATTGCACCACTACACTCTAGCATGGACAATGGAACCAGACCTTGTCTCAAAAATATATATATATATCTAACAGTGTGGTGACTCAAGCCTGTAATTCCAGCACTTTGAGAGGCCAAGGCAGTTGGATCACTTTAGAGGAGTTCAGGACCAGCCTGGCCAACATGATGAAACTCTGTCTATACTAAAAATACAAAAATTAGCCAGGCATGGTGGCACACACCTATGGTCCCAGCTCCTCGGGAGGCTGAGGCAGGAGAATCACTTGAACCTGAGAGGCGGAGGTTACAGTAAGCTGAGATCACACCTACCTTGATATTAGTTATGCATTAGTGAAAATGGATGAATTTGTTCAATTCATAACATCTTTTTTTTTCCTTCTAACACTGTTAGTTGTTTAGAGATACAGAAAAGAGAAGAGAATGTGTTTTTAAGAACTTAAGAGTCATACTTGTTTAATATTTGGACTCTGCTTCACCCACTTATCTAACTGTAGTCCCAATCATTTGTAAAATTAAGATATTAAAGCCTACATAGGTCAGGCACAGTGGCTCACTCCTATAATCCCAGCATTTAGGAAGGCTGAGGCACGGGGTGGATCATGAGGTCAAGAGATTGAGACCATCCTGGCCAACATGGTGGAATACAGTCTCTACTAAAAATACAAAACTTAGCTGGACGTGGTGGCACTCACCTGTAGTCCCACCTACTCGGGAGGCTGAGGCAGTAGAATTGCTTGAACCCAGGAGGTAGAGGTTGTAGTGAGCCCAGATCGCGCCATTGCACTCCAGCCTGGCGAGAGAGTGAGACACCATCTGAAATAAAAAAGCCTATATAGGAGGATCATAATAAAGTCTGAAGAAGACAATGTGATATATACCTGCCTCCTCTGGTCTGACATACTGTAATCATGCAATACGAACTAATGTTATATATTACATTTTATTTCTTGAGATAGAGTCTTGCTCTATTGCCCAGGCTGGAGTGCAGTGGTACAATCTTGACTCACTGCAACCTCCACCTCCCAGGTTCCAGCATTTCTCCTGCCTCAGCCCCCCCAAGTAGCTGGGATTACAGGCCCACACCACCATACCCAGCTAATTTTTTTTAGCAGAGACTCGGTTTCACCATGTTGGCCAGGCCTGGCCTTGAACTCCTGACCTCAAGTGATCTGCCCACCTCAGCCTCCCAAAGTGCTGGGATTGTAGACATGAGCCACCGCACCTACTGATGTTATATATTTTAAAGGTTCTTTATTTCAAATTCACTGTAGCAGTGTTACAGATATTTCTGTAATGTTGAATTAGGAGGTTTGGAAAATTAACCTAATTTCAACAGGGTTAGCTCTTAATCAGGGGGTTTTTTTTTTTGTTTTTTTTGAGACAAAAATCTCACTCTGTTGCCCAGGCTGGAGTGCAGTGGCGCCATTGTAGCTTACTGTGACCTCTGCCTCCTGGGTTCAAGCAATTTTCCTGCCCTAGCCTCCTGAGTAGCTGGGATTACAGGCACCCGCCACCACGCCCAGCTAATTTTTGTATTAGTAGAGACGGGGTTTACCATGTTGCCCAATCTGGTCTCAAACTCCTGACTTGAGGTGATCAGCCCACCTCAGCCTCCCAAAGTGCTGGGATTACAGGTATAAGTCACTGCACCTGGCCTTAATCAATTTTTTGTTTTGTAACAAAACATCATTTTGTTTCCAAGATGGAGTTTCCATCTTTTTGCCCAGGCTGGAGTGCAATGGTACGACACTGGCTCACTGCAACCTCTGCCTCTCAGGTTCAAGTGATTCTCCTGCCTCAGCCTCCTGGGTAGCTGGGATTACAGGCCTGTGCCACCATGCCCAGCTAATTTTTTTTTTTTGAGACGGAGTTTCACTCTTGTTACCCAGGCTGGAGTGCACTGGCGCGATCTTGGCTCACCACAACCTCTGCCTCCTGGGTTCAGGTGATTCTCCTGGCTCAGCCTCCTGAGTAGCTGGGATTACAGGCACGCACCACATGCCCAGCTAATTTTTTGTATTTTTGGTAGAGACGGGGTTTCACCATGTTGACCAAGATGGTCTCGATCTCTTGACCTCGTAATCCACCCGCCTCAGCCTCCCAAAGTGCTGGGATTACAGGCTTGAGCCACCACGTCCAGCCCAATTTTTGTATTTTTGATAGAGACAGGGTTTCACCATGTTGGCCAGGCTGGTCTCCAACTTCTGACCTCAGGTGATCTGCCCATCTTGAGCCTCCCAAAGTGCTGGGATTACAGGTTCGAGCCCCCACACCCGGTCTTAATCAGTTTTTATGAGTGAATATAATATGAGAGTTACCTCTGGTTTGATCAGTTTCAGGAAAATGCCAGTGAAGGGAAGGCCCCTCCTGAAGACGTCTTTAAGAAGCCCTTGCCTCCTACTGTGAAGAAGGAAGAGAGTCCCCCTCCAGTAAGACCAACTTTGGTCCCCTGGGCTTAGGGCTGGGGATGGGGTTGGTTCTGAGTGAGAAAGAAAGCGCAACAGCTGATGTTGTCCTATGGGATTGGTCTTTTACCTCACTGTGTCTCCTGAATAAGGATTTCCATTTATTTTGAGTACAAGCATGAGATAAAGTTTTTTGTCTGCTAATGGGGACATTACTGGAGAACCAGAGGCAGTTATCTGCCCTCTTTCTCTCTATCCTATGCCATTCTTAACAGATGAGATGCCTAGTCCTTTTGTCATCTTGTTCTTGTCATTTCTCTAAATCACCAAGGAAACCCATTTTACCAGCCTCAAAAGGCAGTTTCCTGCCTTTTGGTGTCACACAAGATATGGATTACCTGTGTGGTCATTTTTTATAGTTTCTGCCTGGACAGAATGAATGATGCTAATATTGGTGCCCATTTTTTAGATGTCTTCAAGCGTTAATCTCAATCTAATCACCAGTGATTCTGATTAAATGCAATTATATAACATAGTGACCATGCATTATCTCTTTGTTTTGATTGATCGTAGACCAATGACTATACATCATTATTTAACAGTTCCTATAAGGTACTCTTTTTCTGCTCCACATTATTAATTCAACTCCTTATAGCATCTCTCCTAACCCATGTCTTTGCTTTTACCTTTCATATGAACTAGATCTGTCTATCCAAGTGCCTATCAATGCAGTTGCTTTTAGTTTACTTCCTAAATCCTCTTTGCTAGAGTCTTGATGAAAGTCATCTTTTCTTCTCCATGAGTTACAGTAATTTGGAGGTATTTATCACTTCCTCTTTGTAATTTTCAACCTCTTAACTGTTACTGTTTTCTGTGCTTATTCTTTCTCTTCCTTCTCGCATTCTGTTGCTAGAGTCACTTCTAAAGAAATCTCTCTTGTCTATTCTCAATGTGCAAGGAGCAAAACCAAGCTCTGGACATGTTGCTTCCATCTGGGAAATGAGCAGCATGGTTAGTGAGCCTATTTTGAACCCAGTTCATTATTCCATCTGAAAGAGAACAAAGAAATGAGAAGCCCATATCAGAGTATCCAAAAAATGGACCCCAAAATATAGACTGAATTTGATACTGATCCCTGACCTTCTCCTTCCAGCCTAAAGTGGTAAACCCACTGATCGGCCTTTTGGGTGAATACGGAGGAGACAGTGACTATGAGGAGGAAGAAGAGGAGGAGCAGACCCCTCCCCCACAGCCTCGAACAGCACAACCCCAGAAGCGAGAGGAGCTAACAAAGAAAGAGAATGAAGAAGACAAACTCACTGACTGGAATAAACTGGCTTGTTTGCTCTGCAGAAGGCAGTTTCCCAATAAAGAAGTTCTGATCAAACACCAGCAGCTGTCAGACCTGCACAAGGTATTAGAGGAAGGACCTATATCCTTTCAAACTGTTGACCCTTATTCTTGATGGGCATTATAGGGAATAAAGAAGCTTATACAGGCCGAGCGTGGTGGCTCGTACCTGTAATCCCAGCACTTTGGGAGGCCATGGCAGGTAGATGGCTTGAGGTCAGGAGTTTGAGACCAGCCTAGCCAACATGGTAAAACTCTGTCTCTACTAAAAATACAAAACTAACGTGGATGTGGGGGCACACGCCTATAATCCCAACTACTTGGGAGTCTGAAGCAGGAGAAGCGCTTGAACCTGGGAGGTGGAGGTTACAGTGAACCGAGATCACAACATTGCGCTCCAGCCTAGGTGACAGAACAAGACTCCATCTCAAAAAAAAGAAAAACGAAAAAAGCAGCAGCAGCTTTATATAATCCTTGCACAGCACATATCAGCTCCAATTCCTTATCATTAAAACAGTCCAATTCAAGAATGAATTGCTCTGGATTAAGGTTATGCCCACCTTCAAAGAACTTCCATTTGTAGACCCAAGCCAAGCATTATGGGTTTGGCTAGGGTGGCAAATATGAAAGTTGGGTAGGAAGAGAAAAGGTTGTGGAATAGGACACTTGCTGGGTTTCTCATCTTAGCTCTGTCATTAACCTTAAAGTTGGACCTCAGATAAGCCCCTTTTCTTCTTTGGTCCTTGTAACTTCAACTGGTTCTATCCAGCTCTGACAGTGTGCAGTTTTCACCATAGGTGAATCAAATTCTGCCATTTCTTCATATACTTGAATATTGTTATGAGCCAGAGCACAACAGCTATTCTTGGGATGTTAAACTGACAAACATTGGTCTTCCCCTGCAGGATTCCCATTTATATGTACAGACCAAGGATCCAAATTATGGATAAATAAAGTCTCTAAATGGACTCACATTCTCAGAGCAATTTGAGAATGAGAATTTCACACCCTTTCTCTGGTAGACATTGCAAGAGCAGTTGATGGGACTAGATTTAGACTTCCTCTGAACACAGAACTCAGAGTTTCATTTAGCTAAAAGCTGAGAAGCTCTGCTTTTGGTAATAGGTACATTACTTCTCCCAGCCATCTCTGTGGCAGCTCTACAAAGATAGGACTCTAAAAAGCGCCTCCTGATAATCCCTGGAACAAACTACCTCCCATGTCCCTTTGACTTGAAATTCTGAATTACCAGACTGACACATTGGAATTTCACTCATCTGGTATAAATGCTAATAAATGGCCAAAGAGATAAAAAGTAATTGTCGGCTGGGTACAGTGGCTCACGCCTGTAATCCCAACACTTTGAGATACCAAGGCGGTGGATCACCTGAGGTCAGGAGTTTGAGACCAGCCTGACCAACATGGTGAAACCCGATGACTACTAAAAATACAAAAATTACGTGGGTGTGGTGGCGCATACCTGTAATCCCAGCTACACGGGAGGTTGAGGCAGGAGAATCACTTGAACCCAGGAGGTGGAGGCTGCAGTGAGCCGAGATCGCACCACTGAACTCCAGTTTGGGCAACAGAGTGAGACTCCATCTCAAAAAAAAAAAAAAAATAGTAATTGTCAAAAAAGAGGAGCCACAGGTCTGGTGAATTACCAAACTGAACTGATCACAGGACAGTGGAAAGTAGACTGTAGTACTTTTACTTTCCTTAGGTCGTCTACTACAAAGAACTACCACTTCATGTAAGAGCTGCTTTGGACTCCTTAGGTTTTATACATATGCCTTGTGTAGTGGAGCCATGCGTTAGGAGTTGCAACTCTCAGAGAAGTCTGTTGGAGCGCTGGGGGGGCTCCTTTTCATGTTTCTCTGGGGCTTAAACAGTGACTCATGTCTGGGAATAACAGGCAAAGTGTGGGTATTTGGTTTTTCTTTTTTTTTTTTTTTTTTCTTGAGACCCTTATTTTGGAAAGGCATTTGGTCTTCTTCACTGGTGTGCCCACATCCTCTCTCCCAAGGTTTTCACTTTAGATAAAGACTTAAACCAAATATTTGTTTCCCACATCTTGGAGCTAAGTAAAATGATACTCCCTTTTATGCCATCACACATAAATAATCTGTATGACAAGACCAGTTAGGGATTGTTGCTTGCAGGGTATAGTAATTTAGTAGAGCTGGTCAATCAAAAGAGCTACAATCTAAAAGCAACTATTGAGAAAGGCCTAGAAGCATTTCTAGGACCATCGTTTCTTAGACCTATACTCATAGAATTGCCTCTCTTCTCAGCAAAACCTGGAAATCCACCGGAAGATAAAACAATCTGAGCAGGAGCTAGCCTATCTGGAAAGGAGAGAACGAGAGGTAAACTTTGGTGACCTGTTGTTACTCCCTTGACCTCAGCTCTTTTTGCTTTCTGATATAGACTTCATAGGTTGTGATAATCCCTCCTTATAAGAAGACGGAGAACAAAAGAGGCCCCAAAAGATAGTATATACATTTGCCAAATTCTATAATACATCAAAATAGGTGCTTTTTATTATTTATAAGTTATACCTCAATAAAGGTAATACTTTATTTTTTTGGCCCCCCCATCCCCAAAGGTGATATCTTTTTAAAAGGTGGTGTTAGGGTCTCCAGGTAGGTAGCACTCCTCTTCCCTGCTCAGCTTTTAAGTCCATTGAGTTAATGAAAGAGTGTTGAATAGGGCTGCTGAAATAGCATTTTTTACTATTAAAGGCTAAGCTGGAGGAAGTAGCTTAGTGTGAGAGTCAAATGAACTTGCTACCTCAACCACACAATTAGGGTGACTTACCTATCCAGTCACAGGCTTCACTGGCCTCTCTTATGATGGTTAAGAACCCACCTATGGGTCAGGTGCAGTGGCTCATGCCTATAATCCCAGTACTTTGGGAGGCTGAGACAGGCAGATCCCTTGAGCTCACAAGTTTGAAACCAGCCTGGGTAACATGGGGAAATCCCATCTTTACAAAAAATACAAAACTTAGCCGGGCTTACTGGTGTGTGCCTGTAGTCAGCTACTTGGGAGCCTGAGGGAGGATGGCATGAGCTGGGAGGCAGAGGTTGCAGTGAGCCAAGATTGTGCCATTACACTCCAACCTGGGTCATAGAGCCAGACCTTGTCTCAAGAAAAAAAAAGGAATCTACCTGTGGAGAGCCAGGCACAGTGGGATATGTATGTAATCCCAGCAGTTTGGGAGGCTGAGGTGGAAGGATCACTTGAGCTGAAGAGTTCCAGCCTGCAGTGGGCTATGATCACACCCCTGTACTCCAGCCTGTGTCACAGAACAAGTCCCTGTCTCAAAAATAAACAAAAGAATCCACTTATGGAGAACTACTGGAGATAATGAATTCACAAACTGAGCTGGCCATAGGACAGTGGAAAGTAGATTGTAGTACTTTTCCTTTCTTTAGCATTGTCTACTACAAAGAACCACCTCTCCATGTAAGAGCTGCCTTGAGGCTGGGCTCAGTGGCTCACGCCTGTAATCCCAACACTTTGGGAGGCCAAGGCAGGTGGATCATGAGGTCAAGAGATTGAGATCATCCTGGCCAACATGGTGAAACCCCATCTCTACTAAAAATACAAAAATTAGCTGGGTGTGGTGGTACGTGCCTATAATCCCAAGCTACTTGGGAGGCTGAGGCAGGAGAATTGCTTCAACCAGGGAGTCGGAAGTTGCAGTGAGCTGAGATTGTACCACTGCACTCCAACCTGGCGACAGAGCGAGACTCCATCTCAAAAAAAACAAAAGCTGCTTTGGACTCCTTAAATTTTATATATATCCCCGAGGGCTTGTGTATTGGAGGGCTTATGTATTTTACCCTGCTTCTCAGAAGGGGAAAAGTCAGTTGAACCAAGCATGCCAACTTATTCTTTCCAAATTTTTAAGTCAGGGAAGTCCCTGCTTTACCTAGAAGAATATGTAAAGGAGTGAGAGATTCCAGGAGTTACTAAGTAAGCTACCTTCACTTTAAAAGAAATAACAGTAATGGGGTAAAACTTCCCCACTCCCCAGTTCCCTCAGGTGGAAATCTCAGGTCTGCTCTTTTACTTACCAACAGGGAAAATTTAAAGAAAGAGGAAATGATCGCAGAGAAAAGCTCCCGTCTTTTGACTCTCCAGAAAGAAAACGGATTAAATACTCCAAGGAAACTGACAGGTAAGACAGGAAATCTTGATTCACCCTAGGCCTCAAGCCTAATGATAAAACCACCTCCTTCTTCAACTGTCCTGCTGGTTTTTGTCTCAGGAGATGATGTTATCAGGAGTGGATTTTGTCTCAACTGCTAGAACATGAGGTCTGTGCCAGCCTTTTGACTGTATTTATTATACAGGGAATGTGCGTGGAAGGTTGGCTGGCAGCTTCACCTACCCAAATCCAGGGCTGGAGTAGCCATGGTAGGGAACCCTTTCTGTCCTCATTAGTAATACTGCACCCTCTTTATGGGCCTAATAAGAATGTCACATTCTTGGGCTTTTTCTCTAGGGAACCTCCATTCTCACACTTAGTTGCTATATACATGGTTGGCTGCTGATGGAGATATATGATCTGTAGCTTCCTGTACTTGTTTTAGATCAGCTAGTTCCCAAGTTGTAAGCCCAGAGTTATATAGAATTTGTTGATAACCCACTGCATACAGGTATTGTGCTAAGCACAAGAAATACTCAGGTGAACAAGTCATATATTATCCTTGAGTGAACACAGAATAGACGAGACTTAGGTGATGGTGTGTCTCATAGGGCAGACACAGAAATCAGTGGGGAAGGGAAGGGCATTTCAGGGAACTTCATATACCCAGGGATACAAGAGCTTATGAGGTGCTTGAGGAGTTGCAGATAGTTTGATGGTCCTGAACACTGTGGGTACATTGTTGAGTGATCATAGATAAGCCTGGGCCAAAAGATGCAGGCCAGTTCTTGAAGTTCAAACACCTTGAACACCATGCTAAGGCTTTATCTTAAAGGCAGTGGAAGGTCATAGAATAATTTTAAGCAGGATATTGACCTAGCTTTGCATTTTGGAGAGATTACTAATTATGTAGAAGATGAGTTTATAGAGAGACTAATGCATTATGCAAATTCTATAGTAATTCAAGTGAGAGATCATGATTGCCTGAGTGAAAGTCATGAGTCTAGAAAGGAGAGTGGCCTATAATCCCAATAGAGGGATGCTGAGGAAGGAGGATCTCTTGAGCCCAGGAGTTGGAGGCCAGCTTGGGCAACATACGGAGAAGGGAGACCCCACCTCTGTTAGGAAAAGGAGTGTGGATTACAGATAGGTGTCAGATCCACCAGTCTTTGTAATCACCTAGGAAAAGGAAAAAGTCACTGATGAAGTTCTGTATCTGTTGGATAGCTAAGAGAAGAAGGGACAGTAAAGGCCTTGAAAAGGGAAATTTGGGTACAAGTGGGTGCATGAGCAGGAGGAGAGGTGTAGTCCTTTGAGAGTCCATGAGAGAAGTGAGCATGCCTCTATGTTGGTAAGCAAAAGAACCAGTTGTCAGAGTAGGTTATACCTGTGGGGAAAGGGAGATGATGGACAGAGCAAGGCCCCTGAGGAGGCTGGATGGGGTCTGAGTTTATTTGATCACAACCCACAATAAGAGATGGATTTTTGTATCATGGCCCAATAAGAGAGAGAGAGAGAGAGAATGTGTGTACACACACACACAACTGGAAAAGTTTTCATCTAGAATACTTTCTTACTGTGTAGAGTGAACCCTGATATTTTTATTCAAGTCTAGTCTCTCTTCATTTTTATGAGTTGTTACAGTGGGACCATTTAATGTGACAATCTTACTGGGTTATTCTGTGCAGTTTGAAATACAGTGGACTAGGATAAGGTGAACGAGTCAGCCATGAGGAGGAAAGACACCTTGGCCTTGAGTCATCTGGGGACAAGGCTTAGGTGGAGTACAGAAAGAGGCTGTTCTCCATTCTCAGCACCCTTCATGCCATAATCTCCTGGTTCTTCTTCTTCCCAGTCACTTTTTCTGCTCTTCTTCCTTTTCTGGGTATATCCAGGTATTTAAGACTCTTCTCTCAGTGCTTCTTTAGTCTTGCTCTACCTCTTGACCTGGGCTTTCTAAGGTGCCCATGGCCTCAACCACCTCAGTAAGAAAACCTTCAGAGTAGCAGCATCATAGTATCACTGTCTACATGGTCTGATCCCGTCTTCTTCCTTTATCCCATGTCCAGTTAGTGGCCAAATTCCTAATCTAATCTTGCCCCATGTCTTTGTCTGTTTTATGATACCATAGCAGAATACCACAGACTGGGTAATTTATAATGAACAGAAATTTATTTTAACTCGTGCTTCTAGAGGTTAAGAGGTCCAAGTCTGAGGGGCTGCATCTGGCTAGGGCCTTCTTGCTGTGTCATCCCATGCTGGAAAGTGAAAGAGCAAGAGAGCTTGGATAAAAGGAGAGGTTGGGAGAAGGCAACCAGACTCCTCCTTTTATCAGGAACCCACTCCCACAATAACAGCATTAATTCCTTTGTGAGGGCAGAGCCCTTATGACCTAATAACTTCCTAAAGTTTCACCTATCAACACTCTTGCATTGGGGATTATGTTTCTTTTTTTGGTGGGAGGAGACAGTTTTGTTTTTGTTGCTCAGGCTGGAGTGCGATGGTGCAATCTGGGCTCACTGCAACCTCCACCTCCTGGGTTCAAGCAATTCTCACGCCTCAGCCTCCGGAGTAGCTGGAATCACAGGCATGTACTGCCATGCCAGACTAATTTTGTATTTTTAGTAGAGATGGGGTTTCTCCATGTTGGTCATGAACTCCTGACCTCAGGTGATCTGCCCGCCTCGGCCTCCCAAAGTGCTGGGATTCCAGGTGTGAGCCACCGTGCCTGGCCCGGGAATTACATTTCTAATACATGAACTTTGAGGGACACATTTATTTATTTATTTATCTGTCTATCTATCCATCCATCCATCCATCCATCCAAGTTGGCTACTCCTGGATGGGGACACATTTAAACCACAGCATCTCCCATTCTAGTCCACCTCCACACTGGACTCTTACTCCCAGTCTTAGCTCTCACTGTTCTTCAGTCCATTCTCTACCCTGGCACCAAAATGACCTTTATAAAGAGAAATCTACTCTTATAAGTTGTCTTTTTACAACCCATGTACCTTGCCTCTGAGGAGGCCTTAGCCCCAGAGTTTGCCTGAAGATTGAGGTTTGGATACATGATTTAGCTTAATGTTCAAGGTGTTTTACAGTCCAACCCTATGCAGACTTTTTAAATTTCTTTGTTGTTTTTTTTTTTTGAGACAAAGTCTTACTCTGTCACCTAGGCTGGAGTGCAATGGTGCAATCTTGGCTCACTGCAACCTTTACCTGCCAGGTTCACGCGATTCTCCTTCCTCAGCCTCCCAAGTAGCTGGGACTACAGGCATGTGTCAATTAATGTTTGTATTTTTATAGAGATGGGGTTTTACCATGTTGGTCAGGCTGGTCTCGAACTCTTGATCTCAGGATCTGCCCACGTCCCAAAGTGTTGGGATTACAGGCATGAGCCACTGTGCCTGGCCACCAAGTAGCCTTACCTTTGTCAGTTTCTACTACTCCTCTCTTGGACAAATTGTCTTTCGTGGCTCCTTGCTTGTGTCCTCCTTTTCTTTCACACTTTCTATTTCACAAACTCCCCATTTCGAGATCCAATTCAGATGTATCTTCCTGTTGAAATTCCTGTAATTTTCAGTGATGCCCCTTCAGAATTTATGTTCCTTCTACTGTATTTCTATAGCAGACATCCACTGTTGCTACATTCATGGTTGAGGTCTCTTCAGTGTCATTTAAGCATCTCTTGACATAACTTTTGAGACCTTTCTTGTGAACAGGGCCAAATCTTGGTAGTCTGTGTACCCTACAACAAAGCATAGATATCAGGCACTCAGAGGTATTATTTAATATGCTTACTTAATAAGAGGCAGAGCTAAATCGAGGACAAAGATTTTATATTAGGCTTATAAGCAGATCACCTTGAAAGTGATGGTGTTAGGCCAGGCGAGGTGGCTCACGCCTGTAATCTCACCACTTTGGGAGGCCAAGGCATGTGGATCACTTGAGGTCAGGAGTTTGAGACCAGCCTGGCCAAAATGGCAAAACCCAATCTCTACAAAAAAAAGGGTGGGGGGGGCTGGATGCAGTGGCTCACGCCTATAATCCCAGCACTTTGGGAGGCCAAGGCGGGTGGATCATGAGGTCAAGAGATCGAGACCATCCTGGTCAACAAGGTGAAACCCTGTCTCTACTAAAAATACAAAAATTAGCGGGGCATGGTGGCGCGTGCCTATAGTCCCAGCTACTCGAGTAGTCCCTCCTACTGAGGGAGGCTGAGGCTGAGAATTGCTTGAACCCAGGAGGTGGAGGTTGCAGTGAGCTGAGATCGCGCCATTGCACTCCAGCCTGGGTAACAAGAGCTAAATTCCGTCTCAAAAAAAAAAAAATTAGCCAGATGTGGCGGCAGGTGCCTGTAATCCCAGCTAATCAGGAGGCTGAGGCAGGAGAATGGCTTGAACCTGGAGGCAGAGGTTGCAGTAAGCCAAGATCAAGCCATTGCACTCCAGTCTGGGCAAAAATAGTGAAACTCTGTCTCAAAAAAAAAAAAAAAAAGTAATGGCGTCTGCTTCTTTTGCAGTGATCGTAAACTTGTTGATAAAGAAGATATTGATACTAGCAGCAAAGGAAGCTGTGTCCAACAGGCCACTGGCTGGAGGAAAGGGACAGGCCTGGGATATGGCCATCCTGGATTGGCTTCATCAGAGGAGGTGAAATGGTTTCCATCTTTTTGGGAGTGACATGAACCTGTAATATAATTAACTTTCACTTTCTGGCCTAGAGTGGTGCCTTTGCCATTTTGCTGGGCTTTTTCTACTGCTGGGATATATAAATACTGGGTTATAGCTTGATAGGCTGGGCCCTTTGGAGTTTGGTGGGAGTTAGGAAGAGAAGGAAGGATTTGGAATGGATTTCATCATCCTTTTACATGGAGTAAATAGTAGAGCAGTATCTGAGGCAGTTTGAGACTGAAGAATCATTTGGTCAGAAGAACCAGGGAATGAGCAATGAAAGGTACAAAGGCATCTCTGAGAGGGACTGTCAGTGGAGGTCTTTGGCGCCTAAAATTTAGGGGCATGTAGTTCTGGTTCCCATGAAGGACTTTGCCCTTCATATTTCAAGAAACACCTCTAGAAAAGGTGATAAATGGGAACATTACCCATTTAGTGTTGGCTTGGTTCTCCTCTGAAAATGCCAACCATGGCCGAGCATGGTGGCTCACACCTGTAATCCCAGCACTTCAGGAGGCCGAGGTGGGTGGATCACGAGGTCAAGAGATCGAGACCATCCTGGTCAACGTGAAACCCCGTCTCTACTAAAAATACAAAAATTAGCTGGGCATGATGGCGTGCACCTGTAGTCTCAGCTACTCGGGATGCTGAGGCAGGAGAATTGCTTGAACCCAGGAGGCAGAGGTTGCGGTAAGCCAAGATCGTGCCATTGCACTCCAGCCTGGGTAACAAGAGCAAAACTCTATCTCAAAAAAAAAAAAAGAGAAAATGCCGGCCAGGCGCGGTGGCTCAAGCCTATAATCCCAGCACTTTGGGAGGCCGAGGCAGGTGGATCACGAGGTCAAGAGATCGAGACCATCCTGGTCAACATGGTAAAACCCCCTCTCTACTAAAAATACAAAAAATTAGCTGGGCATGGTGGCGCGTGCCTGTAATCCCAGCTAGTCAGGAGGCTGAGGCAGGAGAATCGCCTGAACCCAGGAGGCGGAGGTTGCGGTGAGTCGAGATCGCGCCATTGCACTCCAGCCTGGGTAACAGCAGCGAAACTCTGTCTCAAAAAAAAAAAAAAAAAAATAGAAAATGCCAACCATAAGAGATAGGCTTATTTCTCTCCTACTGAGCTTCTCTCTGGCATTGAAGCCTCTATCTTTCAATAATAGCATCACCACCCAACTTACTTATCTGGGGTATTTGTTTAATAAAGATTCTTTATTTTTCCTTCTTTCTTTTTTTGAGACTTGAGTCTCACTTTGTTACCCAGGGTGGAGTGCAGTGGCACAACCTTGGCTCACTGCAACCTCTGCCTCGTGGGTTCAAGGAATTCTCCCTCCTCAGCCTCCTGAGTAGTTGGGATTACAGGTGCATGCCACCACGCCTGGCTAATTTTTGTCTTTTTAGTAGAGACAGGGTTTCACCATGTTGGCCAGGCTGGTCTAGAACTCATGGCCTCAAGCAATCCGCCCATCTCGGCCTCCCAGAGTGTTGGGATTATAGGTTTGAGCCACTGCGCCCAGCTGAAAGATTCTTAAAATAATTATCCTGCCAGGTGTAGTGGCTCATGTCTGTAGTCCCAACAGTGTGGGAGGCCAGGTTGGGCAGATCACTTGAAGCCAGGAGTTCCCGACCAGCCTGGTCAACATGACGAAACCCCGTCTCTACTAAAAATACAAAAATTAGCTGGGCGTGGTTGTGGGTGGCTTTAGTCCCAGCTACTTAGAGACTGGGGCACAAGAATTGCTTGAACCTGGGAGGCAGACTTGCAGCAAGCCCAGATTACACCACTGCACTCCAGCCTGGGTGACAGAGCACAACTCTGTTTCAAAAAAATAAAATTATCTTATATACTGCTCCTTACTAGTCCAGAAATGCTTGTGGTCGAAGACCAGCACTGAGTCTAATTAATTCATAGGGCCCACTTCATAGTTTGTCTTTGTTTTACAGGCTGAAAGCCGGATGAGAGGCCCCAGTGTTGGAGCCCCAGGAAGAACAAGCAAAAGACAGTCCAACGAGACTTACCGAGATGCTGTTCGAAGAGTCATGTTTGCTCGGTATAAAGAACTCGATTAGGAATGGAGACAAGTTCTGTGATATACGACCTCCTTGTTTTGTTTGTCTCTCCTTTTCTTTTGTTACTGTTCTTGCTGCTAGAACTTTTTTAAATAAACTTTTTTTCAATGTGACTATCTTTTTGTTAAATTTTTTTTCCCAGAGATGGGTGGAAGTGGGGCTACTGGCAGGAGGGATAGAGTACCTTGCTTCAGGGTTATTTGAAGTTATGTTGAAATAGCAACTAGTGCTGCAGTAAACCCTAGAATACTGCCTACTGTCAGTGTAAGTGAGTAGGTTACAGTGACCTTTGAACTATAGCTTGTGTGTATGCTGTCAGACCAAAAAATTCATTTTCTCAATCTAATCAGCAAATACAGCATTTCATTATTTGTTTCTTTTATTTTTTTTTTAGTAACTGCTTAAGCTGAAAGTATTTACTACTCATTAGATATTCAAAATTCTTCTGATTCCCTGTTATGGTGAGGTTGGGGGAGGGGTGAGAACTGTTTTTCTGAGTGCCTGCTGGGTACTCCATGCTTCACACTTTGTGATTACAAGTTGACATAGTAAGGATCACCATTCCTCTCCAGGCACTACCTGGCTCTTCTTTCCCTCCATTGTTAAAACTGTCCAAAGAAGTAGTTGAAATCTGCCCTCTTTCAAATCTTTCTCAACTTCCCCATTATCACCTCTACCATCTCCCAGTATTTGCTTCAAAAATGAACGTTTTGTGTGTTTGTATTTTGAGACAGAGTCTTACTTTGTGGCCCAGGCTGGAGTGCAGTGGCATGATCACTACTTACTGTATCCTCAACCTCCTGGGCTCAAGTGATCCTCCTACCTTCGCCTCCCAAAGTTTTGGGATTACACACAATGAGCCACTTCTGGGTCCAGCCCAGAAGTGAGCCCTTAAAAAAAAATTCTTTGTGGTTAAAAGGACTATATATAAGGGTGGGCACAGTGGCTCACAGCCGTAATTCCAGCACTTTGGGAGGCCAAGGCAGGTGGATCACCTGAGATTAGGAGTTTGAGACCAGCCTGGCCAATGTGGCAAAACCCCATCTCTACTAAAAATACAAAAATTAGCTAGGTGTGGTGGTGCGTGTCCGTAATCACAACTACTCGGGAGGCTGAGGCAGGGGAATCACTTGAACCCGGGAGGCAGAGGTTGCAATGAGCCGAGACTGTGGCATTGTACTCAAGCCTGGGTAACAGGAGTGAAACTCCGTCTCAGAACAACAAATGAACAATAAGTAAAAATGTTTGCAAAGCAGCTAGTGCAATAATCTAGCATCCAATAAAGCAATCAACTAATTTTCCTCTTTTATTTTCACTACTATTTTTTGAGATGGAGTCTTGCTGTGTCCCCCAGGCTGGAGTACAGCGGCGAAATCTCGGCTCACTGTAACCTCCCCCTCCCAGGTTCAAGAGATTCCCCTGCCTCAGCCTCCCGAGTAGCCATGATTACAGGCGCGCGCCACCACACCCAGCTAATTTTTGTATTTTCAGTAGAGACGGGGTTTCACCATGTTGGCTAGGCTGGTCTCGAACTCCTGAGCTCAGGTGATCCACCCACCTTGACCTCCCACAGTGCTGGGATTACAGGCATGAGCCACCATGTCTGGCCCCTCCTTTTTATTTTTTAGAGACAGGTTCTCACATTGTCCCCAGGCTGGAGTGCGGTGACGCGAACACAGCTCACTGCAGCCTAGCCCTCTCTGGTCCAAGCGATCCTCCCACCTCAGCCTTCCGAATAGCTGGGACCAGAGGCGTAAGCCACCATGCCCAGCTAATTTTATTTTTCATAGACACAGGGTCTTACTGTGTTACCCAGGCTGATCTCGAACTCCTGGCCTCAATGATCCTCCCGCCTCGGCCTCCCAAAATGCTGGATTGTGGGCGTGAGGCACCACGCCCCGCACAGTCACCTTTGGAAGTCGAATTAGACAATGTTTTACACCATGTCAGTGAAAGCAAACTGTACTCTCTACTGCGCTAGTAGCAAAAGCAAAGAATTACCATGCTTAATAGAGAGGAACCCTAAAAACTCTAATCCGGGTCCGCAAAAGCCGATTGACAACTCTGGTGATTTAGAAGAGAATTGCGCAAGAAATTAACACAGAGCGTCCTAAGTGACCAGATTGCCTGCGACCACATTTCCCGGCAGACCTCGCGCAGCCAGGTGTCTTCTAGGATTGGACTCCTCCGCAGGAGGCGGGTGGCGGGGGGAGGGGATAGGCGCGAGGTACTGTGGGTAGGAGACGGCCGTCGGCGGAGGCGCCATTTTGTGGAGCCGCCGAACCTTGTTGGAGGTTCTTGGGCGCAGACCCGCTACTGCTGCTTCGATCTCTCGAAGGGTAAGTGAGGCGGCCGTCTGTAACGACGGTAGGTTTTTGCCATTGGGGCTGGCCCCCGAGACTCCCTTGTCAGCTGCCAGAGGCGACTGATCAGCTCCAGCCGGTTCTCTGGAGGGGCTAAATTACTCCAGCCGTTGGAGGGCCGTGCCCTTTCTTGTCGCCACGTCCGTCAGTTTCCAGAGGTCGTCCAGCCAGCTCAGCCTCGGGCCTGCTTTCCGGCTGTGACTTTGCCCCTTGCGGGTACACGTACCCTAATCCCCAGCCTAACGGAGCCTTGGAGCCGTCGTCTGTCTCCCGGGCACTCCCTGGCAGTCTCTGGCCGCCATCGCCCTCTCCGAAAAGCTGTTCGGTGATGGCCGATCTGCGGGTTAGGAACCTGTTGGGAGGCGGGAGGGGTGTGTGCGGGGAGGGCAGGCTGGACGCTGAAGTCGGTTGAGCAGGCCGTGACGCCGCCATCTCGGCCGTGAGACCCCACGGAGGTGGGTGCTGGCACCGCCCGGGAGACAAGGGGAGGCACCAGCGATTGTACTCTGGGACTTGTTTCCCCCTACTGGTTCTTTTTCATTTATTAATTTCAAGAAATCGTTGAGCGTTCGCTCTAGACGAAGGTCCAGAGACTACTGTAACTGATTTCTCGGACCTCGCGCTCATCGAACGCGTTCCAGCTGTGTGATGTCTTACTACCAACGGTGGGCAGGGGGGTCGTGATGTAGTTTGCAGGGGGTTCCGCTCAGTAGTTTGTAGTCATAAGAACTGGCCCAAAACGTGGTGGTTATTGTTACCTAGGAATTAAGTCGTTTCTAGCTTTGCTCCTGTCTTATGCGATATGTTATTAATGTAGTAGGTTTCAGTCAGCTCAGTATCCCAGCTTCTACGAGGTTTTAAATTTTTCATCAGAAATGTTTGAATTTCATGTTGCTGTTTGTATTAATGAAGACACTTGGATTAATGTTTTAATGGTCAACTTTCCCACTGGACTTGCTTTGATTCAGAACCAAAGGAGCTGATTGCAGCTGTGCCCTTTTTGCTTTGTAATTCTAAGGTAGGAGCAGGGAGGGAGTCTTTTGCTTGCTCCGTATTATGAGTCTGTTGTTAAATCTGAAATCGAATATTTTAAAGTATGCTTAATCTTTCAGCTTTGCTCGTTGTTAACAAATTGTTAGCATAATTTTAGCTTTGGCAGTTTGTCCCCACCATCTCTCCACCTTAGATAATCACTGTCAGTGATTTGAAGGTTTGATGAAATCCCTGCCTCAGTAGTATCCAAGGTTATGGAGCTACTGACTTAAGTGATCTCTTGAGATTTACAGCGACGTATCTCTCTTGTCTCCTAGAAAAACAATTTGAAACTTTTGGAGCTGTGTGCTACATCTTCAGTGGGACAATGGGTTCAGACAAAAGGTAAGTTACTATAGTACATGGCTTTGATCTCAACATTTCAGTGTGGACTGAACTATTTGTTTCAAATAGTTTATCAAACGAATATGTGAGTTTTTTGTGCCAGGCATTGCTCATAATGAACGCCTTCTTGGTCCTGTTGTCACAAACTACAGTCTAGTGAGAGAATTAAAGTACTGTGTGAACATGCTGTGATAAAGTATAGGGTGCTCTTAGAATGCATAGGAAGTATGTCTTTTTCTTATTCACAGCCAGGAAAGTTCCCGGAGAAAGTATTCTCTGGAAGGAAGCTGGATTAGAAAGAATTTTAGGCAAAGAAGGCTGGGGTACAGTGGGTCACTGAGGGTTCCCTGTGCGGACAGCAACCTTTGCAGAAGCCAGGAGATCATACAGTCTGGCACTTAGCACAGTTCCTGGCTGTGGTAAGCAATCAATGAATGCCAGTTCTTGTTATTGTTCCTTAAATAGCAAGATAATCCAGACTTAGAGAGCTGAGAAGCTTGGGACTGTGTGTTACATGAAGAAGGAAAAAGCCAAATAATTAGTGGAAAGTTAAGATGAGAGCATTTGGCTATTGTGTCACCTATGGATATACTCTCTCAGACCATGTGATTTAAACACACATCCTTATTCAGTCATCTGCCGATTTAGTATTGAGGTCAGTCCCAGTGGTAGATCACATTGACAGGCCTGAGGGGCCTTAGGAAAAGTTCATGTCACATGATGTTTTAATGCTGTGTCAGCAGTCTATAGTTCTAAATAGCTTATTCAATTAACATTTACCCCTTTGGGGTGTCTTAGTCCCATATTTCCTTCAATTCTTTTTATTAAATTTGTATATTCTAAATGAAGCCCTTATAAATATTTCCCTTGCCTTGTGATTGTACAGCAGTTTTATGAACCTGATAAACAGTTTACAAAAGAACTATTTTATCTGTGGTCAAATAGGTTTAAGCCTCTTGTTATTAGATTTTCCCATGAAGCCCAGTGCTGCCCTGTAACCAAAAATAAACTAGATGTTAAGAGTGTTCTCTTAGAGAGTGCTAGTTCTAGATAACTATCTAGTTGTGTCTGACAACTAAGTTTCCTGATGGGGAAAAAAAGACTTAGTTCATCCAGGTTTTTGGTCCATTTTCTAATAGATGTGATACACTTGAGAATAGATGAGCCAGGGATGTGCTTAATTCCACCCTTAAAAATTGTGTGGAATTCAAATAACTGCTTTCTGCCTGTTTTTGGTCACCAAGTTCTGAATCAGAGATGAAGGGGTAATGTGTAGACTCTAGGCTCTACAAAATGTAAAAATAGACTTGGACAGCATGACCCTTCCTTAGAAATATTCAACCCAAATGTTCGATAGTTATAATTTAAGATTTAGCATAAATTCCTGAGAATTATCAAATTTAGGGATGTAGGTATTTTCCCAGTGGTTATCTTTGTAAACTGGAGTTTAATAATACATTCTAACACTTTATTTGAATATATTATAGAAACTGATGTGTGGGGTGTGTGTCTTTTTAGTTGTTTTTTAAAGGTACAAAATGTGACTGACTTTAGAATGAAAATTATTTTCTCTGGCAGAGTGAGTAGAACAGAGCGTAGTGGAAGATATGGTTCCATCATAGATAGGGATGACCGTGATGAGCGTGAATCCCGAAGCAGACGGAGGGACTCAGATTACAAAAGATCAAGTGATGATCGGAGGGGTGATAGATATGATGACTACCGAGACTATGACAGTCCAGAGGTGAGTGACCAGCAGCTATATAACCCCCAAAAACACCCTGAGCCTTATAGTAATAGAAATAACAGCCAGGCCTGGTGGCTCGTGCCTATAATCTCAGCACTTTAGGAGGCCAAGGCAGGCAGATCACTTGAGGTCAGGAGTTCAAGACCAGTTTGGCCAATACAGTGGAACCTGTGTCTGCTAATAATACAAAAATTAGCTGAGTATGGTGGTGGGCACCTGTAATCCCAGCTATTCAGGAGGCCAAGGCAGGAGAATCGCTTGAACCCAGGAGATGGGGGTTACAGTGAGTCGAGATCGAGCCACTGCTCTCCCGCCTGGGTGACAAAAGCAAGACTCCATCTCAAAACAACAAAAAAAAAGAAAATAATAATAGCCAGGGTTTACATAAGGCTCAGCATATAAACCCTGTTAGGTCTCAGTAGGTGTTGCTTAGGTATTATTCACATTTTAAAGATGAAGCAGTGGGGCTATAATAACATATAAGTGCTGTGTTTTGAAATGAATGATGAATATACGTTGTTGGGCTCACGTGAGTCTGTAGTCCCAACACTTTGGGAGGCTGAGGCAGGAGGATCCCTTGAGCCCAGGAGTTCGAGACCAGCCTGGGCACCATAGGGAGACCCTCTCTAAAATAATAGTAATAACAGGCCAGGATTACAGACGGTGGCTCACACCTGTAATCCCAGCACTTTGGGAGGCCAAGGTGGGTGGATCACGAGGTCAAGAAATCGAGACCATCCTGGTCAACATGGTGAAACCCCGTCTCTACCAAAAATACAAAAAATTAGCTGGGCGTGGTGGCACATGACTGTAATCCCAGCTACTCAGGAGGCTGAGGCAGGAGAATTGCCTGAACACAGGAGGTGGAGATTGCGGTGAGCCGAGATCGTGCCATTGCACTCCAGCCTGGGTAACAAGAGCGAAACTCCGTCTCAAAAAAAAAAAAATTAATAATAATAGTAATAATAATAATAATAAGTTGTTTTGGTCATCTTGATATATCTTTTATTTACATTCCTTTCCATATGCATATGTAGCTTTGTTTAGAAATAATTGCGCTGCCCATATAATTTTGCAATATTTTTTTCCTTTTTCTACTTTTTCTATGCATATATTATAACAGATAATGGTATTTCTTTGCTTGTTGGTGTGATGTACAGTAAATTATTAAACCATTCTTCCTGAACTAAATGGTTGTTGCTGTTTTAGAAAACACCATGGGCAGGCTGGGCGAGGTGGTGGTGGGTGCTTGTAATCCCAGCTACTTGGGAGGCTGAGGTACGAGAATCACATGAGTCTGGGAGGTGGAGGTTGCAGTGAGCTGAGATCATGTCACTGCACTCCAGCCTGGGTGATGGAGCGAGACTCCATCTCAAACAAAAACCAGAAAAAAGAAAACATTGCAGGCTGGGCGTGCCTGTAATCCCAGCACTTTGATAGGCCAAGGCAGGAGGATCACTTGAGGCCAGGAGTTCAAGACCAGCCTGAGCAACATAGCGAGACCCCTGTTTCAAAAACAAAAAGCATTGCAGTGAACATCACCATGGAGTGCTTGTATCATCTCTGTTGACTTCCTGCTAAGGATGATTTCTAGGAGGGGAGGGCTTGTTTTAAAGTATACATTTGTTTCAAAGTGTACATTTGTTTCAAAGTGTACAGGGTGTTAATTATAATTTTGTTTATTGTAATTCAGAGAGAACGTGAAAGAAGGAACAGTGACCGATCAGAAGATGGCTATCATTCAGATGGTGACTATGGTGAGCACGACTATAGACATGACATCAGTGACGAGAGGGAGAGCAAGACCATCATGCTGCGTGGCCTTCCCATCACCATCACAGAGAGCGATGTA